CTCAGCCAACAGAGAGCCAAACATTTTACCTTTTAACCTCAAAATCTGTGCAAAAAGAGAAAAAGACAAAAAAAAAAAAAACAACAACAGCGACAACAACAACGAGATAGAAACTACACAAATAAACATTAACCAGTAACATTAAGCTTGAGTTTAAAGAAACGAACAAATATCAAACATTAAAAAATATTTTTAAAAATGTTACTTTATAATCCCGAAATCTGGGTGTAGAGTCCTTGAAGAAAATATCAAGATACAATGGCTGAGTAAATGATGGCCCACCCACCACATCCCCACTTACTCAGCCAACAGAGAACCAAACATTTTACCTTTTAACCTCAAAATCTGTGCAAAAGAGAAAAAGACACAAAAAGAGACAAACAAAAACAACAACAACAACAACAACAACGAGATAGAAACTACACAAAAAAAACATTAACCAGTAAAATTGAGCTTGAGTATAAACAAATATCAAATATTATTAAAAAGAATCAATAAAATGTTACTTTATAATCCCGAAATCTGGGTGTAGAGTGCTTGAAGAAAATATCAAGATACAATGGCTGAGTAAATGATGGCCCACCCACCACATCCCCACTTACTCAGCCAACAGACAACCAAACATTTTACCTTTTAACCTCAAAATCTGTGCAAAAAGAGAAAAAGACACAAAAAAGACAAACAAAAACAACAACAACAACAACAACGAGATAGAAACTATGCAGAGAAAACATTAACCAGTAACATTAAGCTTAAGTATAAAGAAACAAACAAATATCAAATATAAAAAAAAGAACTGAGAAAATGTTACCTTATAATCCCGAAATCTGGGAAAAAGGACAAAAAGAAACACAAAAAGACAATACAACAAGAACAACGAGATAGAAACTACACAAAGAAAACATTAACCAGTAACATTGAGCTTGAGTATAAAGAAACAAACAAATATAAAATATTATGAAAAAATATTATATGCACTCAAAGCGCTTTACACAATGGGGAGATTCTCCTCTTTAACCAACAGCCTGCAGCATCCACCTGGATGACACAACAGCAGCCATTTTTTGCCAGACCGCACACCACACACCAGCTGATTGGTGGAGAGGAAACAGAGTGATGAAGCCAATTATGATATGGGGAGGGTTAGGAGGCCATGATAAACAGAGGCCAGTGGGCAAATTTGGCCAGGATCTCGGGGTGAAACCCCTCCTCTTTTTCGAAGGACACCCTGGGATTTTTAAAGAGACCCTGCTTCGTTGTTTTGTAGGGAAGATCGAGTCGCATTGATTCATTTTGCAGCTCTGGTGGATTCTGGTTTACTTCACACAGACTGAACTGTAAATGTAAATCTAATAAAAGTAGAGAGGGTGCATTTTAAGACTGCTGGGCCCCAAAATGTCCCAAAACACTAATAAAATGTGCTGGTTTTAATGGGTGGAAAGTTTTAAAATTACAATTATTGTTTTTTTTTTTTTTTTTTTGGTAAACTTTAGGACATCTGTGATAGCCTTGATTATTTTGTTTTAATTCAGCAGAGAATTAAAATAAAATTAAGACATGTCTGTGAGATTATGTTTTGTTGTTTTGTAGGGAAAATAACATTCATAATTAATCACATAATTACATTGAGATGCATTGATTCATTTTGCAGCTCTAGTGGATTCTAGTTTACTTCATAACGACTGAACTGTAAATTAAAATTAAAGTAGAAAAGGTGCATTTTAGGACTGTTGGGCCCCATGGCTGTATTAAAACACCCAAATCACTAAATCCGCCCGATACATCTCACAACAATTATAAAAAAATAAAACAAAATAACAATGAGAGAAATTATATTAGCTACACATTCATAGTATTCAGCATAAATAAGTTAAATAGGTAAATGAAATTTACTAAATGCTTACATAATATGTTTTTTTTAGCTTTTCTGTTTCCAACGTTAATGTTACACAGTGTAAAATAATATTGTTTAATCTCATGTATGAAATGTTCACAATTTGGCTAATGAATATTCAAAATATCTCGATAGACAATATAAGGTTAGGGACCGTGTCACAAGTTAACACTGATCAAAAATGAATGAATGTGCGAATATAGGTACAGCATTGCTAACCTTTACCACGGTTATTAGGAAAAGAAGTGTGGAAAATAAAGATATTACATTAAGTCAAATAACGTTACTAATGTCGCCTCACCGAATGTTACCAAAAAAGCAACAATAACGACGACAAAAGACCAAAAACCAACTAAACGCGGTAAGACAACGTCAACCTGTAACATTCAGCTTGGGTGAAAACTAAGAAAACAGATAAAATGCTAAACTAAAACAGAAATAAAGTGGAAATAAGCAAAACATACCTTCTCAACTTCTGAGGAAAGACGAGGATTGACTGAATTCGTCAAAGAAATGTCTGACTTTCTCCAATAACCGTTCCACTGTTGTCATGGCTCCGCATTCTAGAACAGTGACTCTCTTGGTTCAAGAGTCCCGCGTGAAGTGTTTAAATAATGCTGCGAGTGTTTTCAATTCATTAAAAACAAGGAGTCGTTTTTTAAGTGACTAAACGTGTAACATACCTAAAACATGCTGATTAATATTATTAAAACACACACAGTACTTAAAATCTTAAATGGATCGTAAAAGTTTTTCAAAATTGTCATACAAGAATGGGTGTCGCTGAATAGTTTTTAGACAACTTTGATAAATCGTTTTGATCCACTTTAAATGCTGACCATATCCATATACATACACACACACACACACACATACATACGTATGTATATATATATATATATATATATATATATATATATATATATATATATATATATATATATATATATATATATATATAGCAGACAGACAGGGTACCTTTTAGTTCCTTTCCAACGTGAGGCTGAAAACGTCAGTCATCTTTTCTCTATGGTATTTCTTTTACCTCAGTAGCGTCGGTCGGCGTCTGGACAAGTGCAAAAAATAACCCACGGTCCCTTTACGCTTCCAGTTTGATGGATCAACAATTTGATTTTTAGAGAAATCTGTATCTTTTAAGTTAATTGGGCAGAAATTTGTTACACTCACATGAAAGTGTTTTCTATTAGAAAAATCTAAAAGTATATACAAGTATAAATATGCATATATGTATAAATATAAGTATATATAAGGATACGTCATACGTCACGTTTTCTCATTTAATGGTTAACTGTTATATATCCCTAAATGTATTTATGTATTTTAACTTTAAAGATGCTGATGGTATGATTTTCACATAGCAATAAGGATATAGTGCTACATTTTAATGAAATGTAAATGCTTCTTTGTAATATATACAGTATGTTAAATCAACCAGTTTGGTAGAGTGGAATGCATGAATAATCTGTCAAGTGTCAAAACTGCCACCATCAATAGGGGGCAACAGAGGACGCTTTCTCCATATACAACTGAACTTGGGCATAAACGCTAGAAAACATAACAGCAGCTTTAACATGTAACAATGATTACTGTAATCTGTTTAACTGCATAAAGTCACACAAAATAAAAGTGAAAATTCAATTAATACCATTTATAAATGCCTTACGTTGTGCTATCATTCTTATTTTGATGTTAGTTTATCTTATTTTATTTCATTCTTGTAAATTTATATAGTAGTGCACAGTCCTGTGTTATGTTGTTAATTTAAGTTGTTTGATGTAGCACCTTGGTCCTAGAGGAACATTGTTTGGTTTCACTGTGTACTGCACTGTATATTGTTGAAATGACAATAAAGACTTGACTTGACTCATGTCAATCCACTTTTTCTTTTTTCTTTTTTAATTTTGGTAAAAACAATAGATATTGTGAACAAATGTGTTTTTGTTTTTTGCTCATACATCAAACCAAAACAAGGTTGGATAATTATCCTTTTCTTAAAAAAAAAGAAAAACTAAATTTTTTTTTTTGTCAAATTATCTGTATTTTATTAATAAACATTATAAACAGTTTTTATCTAGTTTGAGGACATCAGGAGCTGGCCAGTGGCACTTAAAATGTAGAAATGAGCTATAGGACATTGACAAAACAAAGAGAAGTACAACACTTGGTGTTCTATAAGTAATGGAGAAGTTCACACCGAGGCAGCAGCTATTTTTATTCAACCAGCTAGTGGACAATGTCAGTTTTAAATATATTGAAACAACCAATGTGCTTTTAACAATTATCTAATTTAATATGAGGGAAATGGATTTGGTAGAAGACTGTTATGCAAGAGTGTGTCCTGTCAAAAAGCCATGCAAAGACTAAAGCATATAAAGTGAAAAGTGTTTGTAGATTAGACATCTAATAGTTCCAATAACATGATCAAAACCCTCTTAGAATAAAGAAGAATATTAATTGTTTCATAGTCATATTTTTTTCAGCACAAAAATAAAAAGGTGGGTAAAACTCTTTTACCCTTCATTATTTCTAACTGTGTTGTATTTGCTTATTTATTTAGATAGGACATGTTTATATCTCAGGTACACTGGGTAATATTCTATTTACAACAGGTAAACAGTAAAAAAATAAACAAGATTCTGCATTAGTACAACATACAGTGCACATCATTTAAAATATTCAGAAATATACAGAAGAGGTTAACACAACATATACAAGAAAAGATCTCACTGATATCATCTGTAAATAGTTCATGCGATCTTCACTTTCCCTTGTTGGTCCGTTACTCGTGTGTTTCCTTCAAATTCATGCGTCCAATAAAAGAAGCCATCATTTACTTACTTTCATACTCATTCATTCATTTTCCTTCGGCTTAGTCCCTGATTTATTAAGGGTCACCACAGTTGAATGAACCGCCATCTACTCTGGGATATGTTTTACGCAGCGGATACCCTTTTAGCCACAACCCAGTACTGGGGAATTCCTCTCATATTATTTCAATCAAAACAATTGACCTAATTTGACCCAGCATGAAGGTGAGTAAATAATGACTGAGCCGTTGTTATTCAGTCAATTAAAAGGCATCCAATCACATGGTAAACGACGTGCCATTTTCATTGTTGGAATAATCCATAGAGCGCCGCGTCGAAAGGTACATTTCAGTGGTAACACGTGATGACCGCCTTGCCGACATATAGTTCTTCCCCAAACACCAAATGTCCCGTAGGATCTTCCGGAAGTGGTTTCTGAAATTGACCCCGATGAAGGCATACAGCAGAGGATTGAGGCAAGAGTGCAGGTATGCCAAACTTTCTGTGATGGTCATGGTCAACGCGACGGCCTCCTCATGGCTGCATTCCTGCTGTTCAAATAAATTGATGGTATGGTACAACAGCACAAGGTTATAAGGCATATGGCAGACCACAAACACAAGGACCACGGTGAGCACTACACGCACTGCTTTGTGCCTCTGAAAGTTCTTGGCCCGAAGAAGGGTGACAATGACGCTGGAGTAACAGAATCCCATTATGAGCAAAGGCAAAAAGAAACCCACTGCCACCTGAGAGCTGGGCACGATGGTTTTCATCATACGCGCTGTTTCATTCGACTCAAACTTGAAAGAGCAGACATACTGAATTTCTTCCATGATGGTATTATTGTTGAATAGGAAGGTAGATTCAGTCAGACCATTTTCGTAACGCTCATAAAAGATGAAGGTGGGAAGGGACAGAAGCAAGGCCAGCAACCAGACGGCTGCACAAACTAAATGGCTGTAAAGAAGAGTGCTTGAACGCAGCCGGAACGAGCGACGGGCTTGCACAATGGCAAGGTATCGATCTCCACTGATGCAAGCCAGAAGTAACATCCCGCTGTACAGATTGACGCTATAGATGCCACGCAGAAGCTTGCAGGACATGTTCCCCATGGCCCAACTGTGCTGCTCGCTGTAGATGATTAAAGGCAGAGCCACCACAAACAGGATGTCAGCGATGGCCACATTCAGCAGATACACGTCAGTCATGGACTTGGTTCGCTTGTAGAGGGCGTACGTTACAATCACAAGACTGTTGCCGATGAAACCAGCCACACAAATGATTGGATGAATAAACAAGCGGAGGAAGTTCTCAAGCTTCTGCCTGCTCTCCACAGAACACGGCTCCACAGCTCCTTCATAATAATCACCGTAGTTGTAGTTTTCAGAGGAATCATTAATCATTTTCTCTATAAAGAAAGAACAGGAACATCAGTAAGATTATTACTTGAAAGGCAGAGTTCAAGTCAAGATGAAGAGGACTAACTGAAATCTAAAGCAGAGCAAAGTTTATTCAACACTTCCAGAAATAAAGGTACAAAAGTTGTCACTAGGGTTGTACTTTTCATGTTTGTACTTTACTAGTATGTTCCTTTAAGTTAAAGGGGTCACCAACCCTGTTCCTGGAGAGTTACCTTTCTGCAGAATTCAGCTCCATCCCTGATTAAACACACCTGAACCAATTAATTAGGACATGAAGAAGCTCTTGATAATTACAGACAGGTGTGTTTGGTCAGGGTTGCAACTGAAACCTGCAGGAAGGTAGATCTCTAGGAACAGGATTGGTGACCCCTGCTTTAAGTTATCAATAAGGACCCTTCAGGTACAAATGTGTCATTTGTGAAAAGTTACATTGCCAGTGGAATATTGTATTAACTTGGGGGAATAACATTGGTTTGAATAAAGTACAATTTTTCTACAGTAAATTTTATGGAATAAAAAAAACAATGACAAATACTTTTGTTCCTAATTTTTATTTCTCCACTTGCTGTTAAAGTTTTACAAGTGAACCAAAACTTTCACCACCTTCATTTAAGCGTTTAGGTTGGTTATGCGAATTTGCTGCACTGAAAAACAGAAACACTGCTTGGTTTAAGAGTTGTTCAATCCAACGTTTTATTAAGTGGCTTTAACTACTAGGCACTTACATCAAAAAAAGTACAGTTGAGATGCTACAGACCATTTAAATGTTGTCATTGGCCCATGAACATTTCCTGCTTGTTGTCAAACTATTTCATAACTGTAATAAGAGGCAATTCAATCATAACTTAATATTAAAACAGCTGTCATGACATTATTTATAACTATGTGGCTCTTTTTAGATTTTCAGTAGCTATGTAAATTAAAAATGTAAAACAGGAAATACGTTGGGATAATTGTTTTTGTTTACATCGTTCAAAATGGTCTATTGACATCGGACACAAGTTTGGAATTGTATGGGTAGGTTAAGGTGTAAGTGATGGGTCAAAAGTGTAATTATAAACATAACTAAAATGTAATTATATTAATTAGATGTAATAAAAAACCTAAGTACAATTAAAAAAACATGTATGTACATAGGTATATTGTATTATAAATGACTATTTTAAATTTAAGTACATAGTAATTAAGGCGACTTAATATAAAGTGGGACCACTTGCTCTTTTACACCTAAATCCAGATTTAAATCCAGAACAGTAGTACTTCTTCACATGCCAGCCAATGTGACCAAATTTTAAGAATCAATGAATGTGAAATAAAGGACATGATACATCTTAAATTCAGTAATTCAATCCACACCAGAAAAACGCATTCAGTTCAAACATTGCTTTGTAGTTTGCTATATTACCTTAGCAGAAAGAGGAAATCTGCTGAAAATCAGGTCACGTACACTGCAGATTTATTGCATATAATTGATAATATTTGATATAACAAGACTCAGCAATCATAAAAAAAAGTCTGAGCAAGGTTTATGTGGGCCTTAAAAAGTGTTCACCTTACCACAATCCTCGCAAAACATTCTGGGTTCCACACAATTGCTTGACCAAAATTAAGTTATCGTAATTGTTTTAACAAATTTAAGTTGATTGAACATAAAACAATTAAGTTCAAAGTGAAAACTCAGTGAGGTATAAAAAAATATAAATATAATCTAAAATATAAATTATATTTATCTGAGTTAATGATGGATGTTTGTTCTCATTTAGATTAATTTATTAGAAAACGAGACTCTTTATGTCATGCAATTTTGCTTCAAGTAAACATATCTTGATTTAGTAATGTTTAGATGTTTGCGCTTGTAAACAATACAAAAGCTATGAACATAATATTAACAAAAACTATTTTACAATCAACACATTTTCATCTTCAAGTATTTGGGAGAAGCATTTTTTTCGATTAGCTGTTTATGTAAACTGATTTTAAACTTAAGAACATTATATAAAAAAATATATATATTGCTTTATTATGTAAATTAACATTTCAGAGAACATACTGACATATTTTACTTCCTAATCAGAAATTATTAAACATTACCCCACCAGCAAATGTGCTGAAACCCTGATCATTTATCAAACAAATAAGTGTTTGTATCCATAAACACTTTTAGTTCATGCACACAATGAAGAACTCACAAGAGGAACTGTAGTATGAAAATTTTGGCAGACTTTTTTTTACATAGTTTTTATCTTTAGCATCTTCTAGCATACAGAATCATGCACATTCACAAACTGCCACAAAAACAAATGCCTAAAAATAATGTACGATTTAAAGCAACATACACTTTGAGAACAAAGATCATCCTTACGTTGCAAAAGCCTCACTAAATATAGAAACTTTCCAAAAGTTTAAGTACTAACATACAATGATCATTAATTTTGATGGTCTTTTCAAGCATTCTTTTCATAGACAAATTTGCAACTACATCATACAGTAGACATTATAACACTTAACGTTTTGTAGAACAGACAATAACTATCGTTCATTTTACTAATACTGGCAGGCCACCAACACCAACTAATAGTCCAATTAGAGTTAGTTAACAAGTAATTGCAACTTTTTATAGTAAAAAAATACCATCATAATCATACACAGCAAATAAAAACTGAGCTAAACTAAACAATTCATGCGACTGAAGTGGAAAAAGAAACAAACAAAAAAAAGAAGTCACTTACCGCTATTCACACAAACAAGTCTTCTGGAATGTAGCGTGAGGCTTCAGACTTCTCTTTCCGTCTGGTTTCTAATGAGGAAAGACAACCTGGGCAGAGCACTGCTGCGTAATAAGAATGACAATTATTTTATCTGTTAGCAGGAAGGAGGCGCTTCACTCCTGCAGACAGAGCGCCATACAGGAACATATAGGTGTATGTGGCAGACCATCAAAGCTGTCTGACATTATCAACTAATCTAGACTATGGTTGTATGTGAAAAGTTGATGTTGGGTGACAGAGCAATCTACCAAGCAGACCTTTGCATCAAGTGGTTTATGCATGGCTCAAAAAGTCTTGCTGAATAATTTTCTTATTTCTACTGCAAATTTACTCACATTAAACATTTTTATAGCCGTTTTTAGATTCTTCTTCTTTTTTACATCCTTCTGATTTTTTTTTAAATAGCAACACACACAAAAAAAGGAAGTCAACAGTGAGACAATACTTAATTATTTATTATGTCAACTAAATCCATAAATACATAAGGTACAAAACGAGGAACTGACAGTTCAGATGTCAAGCAACGTCTTCCATGTAGTCCGCACCCAAACTAGTCTGCGAGACGCTCACATCTTGAGTGGTTTCATCAAGCTAGAAGAAACATACAGAGAGAAACCAAGAGCAATGAGAATCAGAGTAAGGGTCTAACCACAGGGTATGAGTGGTCTTTTATAGCCAACAACCAGAGATACCTATGGAGTCAGTCTAGGGCAGGGGTGGGCAAGGGCCATTCATACAAAATAAAAGAAAGATTTGCAAACAAAAAATGAAGTTTTGATAAAAAAAATAAATAAATAAATGCAAACCCCATAAAATCGCAAAGCAAAAACTAATTTGAGAAATAAATTTTGCTAACAGAAATAAAGAACTGCAAAGGGAAAATACATTTCTGAGAAATAAAAATGAAATTTTAACCAAAAAAAGAAATGCAAATAAAAATCAAGCAGTGCAAATAACCTAAAATATTACAAAAAATAAAAAACTATATATATTTGCAAAACGCTTTTATAGCATTGCTTTTACAAAACCAAACATTACAAGGGAACTTGAGTGTTTACAGCAGGCCCAGACCTACTGGGCTGTATGACCACCTCAGTGATACTGTCTTCAGGTGATAACGCCACTTAAATGGAGGCAGGTCCAGGGCTGCCGTACACGCCCGGGTTCCATTGACTCCACCCCCTTGTCAGAAGTGCAAAGTGAAAAACACATTGCAAACTCACGGTTGACTAAAAAGCCAATCAAAATGAGCATTGCAATTGACTGAACAGGGTTTTTATTTCTCAAAACCTATTCTTAATTGTTATTTTAGGAGGTTTGCATTTATTTATTTATTGTTGCTCAACACTTAATTTTTTGTTTGCAAAACTTTCTTTTATTTTGCAAGTATATATGGCCCTAGTTTGACTTCATATGATACTCTTTCAACAACAACAACAACAACAACAACAACAGAAGATTAACAAATGTCAATACTGAAAGATATGTTTCATGCAAAAACTGTAATTCATTCATATGCACTCAACTGGTGATATTCTAATGCCACATACGCTCTCTCTTATCGCATACCAAAGGAGAAATAATACAGTTCTGTTATAACTTGTCCATACAATGAGAGTAAATAGCAACCAGCATGTTGTGTTCATGAAACACCCAAAGCATGGCCATTCATGACTCACAAACATCTTTTAGTTACATATACATTTTTTTGGTCAAATACATAAAGCATGAAACACTGATTTTTGTATTTATTTAAATAAACAAAAACAATTTCACTAAGAAAATGTTTATGGATTTTTTTTGTCAGATGGCAGTTAGAAAGACAGCTGAAAGATAATTAAAATAACTTTTGACAAAAACTACACAAATTTAACTCAGACAGGGTTGTGTGGGTGAGTGCAATAACTAACACCCACGTGGTATATGCAAAATACATTTTTTTAAAATGTTAAAAAAAGGAAGAGAAAAGAAAGAAATCAAAAGAAAAAAGAAAAAAAAAACATCCATACTGTAAAATATAAAGTCCATAGTCGGCTTAAAAATTTAAGTCAAATTAAATTAACGTTTTTTACATAAAATAAATTTCTTCTATAACTTAAAAGTTAGAAAAATGATTAACTTGAATAAGATTTAATAAGTTATAATTGACATAAAACATATGTTGTCTTAACCTATATATATTTTGTACAGTGCAGTAATTGTACAAACTCGTCTGAAATTACAAAGTCATTGGCAAAGCATTGCTTACAAAAAAATAACCCTTCAGCAATCACAAGTATGAATGTGAATTTGTGAATGAGGAGCCATACAAATGAATTAGGCCATATTATATTGGCTTTGTATTCTCAGTCAACAGATTTCCCGAAAATGACAAAATGAACCGCGCACAGAATTACTCATTTTATTCTCACATCTCAGTCCTTTCACAATAGCTCTATTTAGGTTATTGCTAGACAGAATATTTATCATAGTGTTTATTAGCGCATCTTACTGAAACAAACTTCTGAAATATCATAATTTTTTACTCATTATTAATTTTAACAGTTTGTACTCATTGTTGGCAAGGTAATAAGCAGCGGTGTATAGCACAACACGCACTATATGGTATCTACATGCAGTTTCACTTTGTAACATCAAACAAACTGCACTACACAAATAAGAATACTGCACATAAGGGAAAATCCATGAGTGTGTATTAAGCGTTTTGAAAGAAAGTCAAGTCAAGAAATGTGTTAGTTTATATCTAGGATTTTGCATGCTTTAAACCAAACACAGAGAAGAAGTAGCTTGGTTAAGAAAAAATATGTCAACATAATGGTTTTAGTATGGGACCAAAAAACTATTCCTATACTAAAAACTGTTGTCACAGTCCTTATCAAAAAGAAGCACATGAATTGTAGTTTGTGTGCCATGTTTCTATTGCTCGTGATTTCTCACAACTTGTACTTTTTCTGACTGAGTCAGAGTGAACTAAGGCTCTAAGTTGTGTACGGACACAACCAGTTTAGGTATGGTCTGCATAAATCAGAATTCGCTGAGACTTTTGTAACAGAATGTTTATGTACTTCCAACTGAAACAAAAATTAAGAAAGGGGCGAGGCTTTCTTTTTGCACATCATTTCCTCATAGCAAACTAACGGTAAGAATATTGTGGTTAAAGTTGTCAATCTGGCATCAAAAGAGAAAGGCACACTTTTGTTTCAGTGCACATTGATGTATTTGCTCTTCAGTGTTTGGACTTTCAGCAGTGAAATTTAAACTACACTGAACCGAACTAAATTCAACTCTGAAAACTGGACTGGCTCAGTTTCAATTTACTAGAACTTCTGTTAAGCTGCTTTGACAATCTACATTGTAAAAGCTCTACAGAAATAAAGATGAATAAAAAATAGATTAGTTTGTATGGCTTAGTTGTTAGCAATGTGAGCTAGCAAAATAAATATAGTTAATTTAGCTTTGCTTTGTTTTGTTTTGCATAGCCACAGATTTGTTGCGGCATATACGGCAAATGTAATGATAGTTTGGGACCATTCTGTGATACTCAGGTTTTTAGACACTGAATCTGGAATTTTTGTTCGTAATTTTCACACATTAAAAAATAATTTCAACCTCACGCTGTATCAATCGTATTGACATACTGCCTCAGAAACTTTTGTCTGTTAAAGCCAAAGCCACAGACATCCTGAAGTAATTTTTGAATCGGTCTGGCAAATCCCACAGTTCTGTTGATAAGGAGGTGAAACTCTTCTTTCTCTCTCTGCAATCTATGAATGGCCCAATATTGCTTTCTTTTTTATTTGTTAAGCAGGGGGAGGACAACAAAATCATCTTCACTGATCGAAGATTTCATTTTGTATTGTCTTTACCAATTATTTCGCTACAGATTCATTAATGCATCAGACTTAATGTGCATGACGAATGTTTCTGATTTGAATAGAAAAAAATCCAATTTACTTTTAGTTTGAAAAATGTCAGACTACAGTGTAAAAAGACCTTCACATTTTCACACATAGCCTAACACATAAACATAGTTTTAAAAGTTGATAAAAAACTGTTAGTGTAGAATACTTAGGAGACTAGAACACTTTGTAAACCATCCAATGTACTTCTTACATCATAATAAGAACATAGATCAGGTTTGTATCCAGTAATTTTTTTAAATATTCCCCTTTGTGTTCAGAAAAGGATAGAAAAGTATAGGGCATTAAAACAACACCTAAGTGAGTAAATAATGAATGGATTCTCAATTGTATTTGTAAACTCTTCAAGTGGTTTCCTCTTGTTGCCTCATTGGGCCTCTTTAGGCAACTATCTTTGCCATTAACAAAACATCCCCTTCTCACTTCTTAACTTTTAAACAATACAATCCTATCCATGAGGCCACTCTGTTGACTTACTCTCATAAAGAACTGCGAAAACCAATACCATAATTAACCAACATGAGAAACAACCACATCAGTATTACAAGGTCAATTATTTCTTTACAAGCTTATTCATGGAACAGTTCCCCTTAGTCATTGGCGACACAAACAATGTGACTCTTTTGTGGATGGAGAGAACAATACCTTATCACTAATGTCAGGCCCCTCTATTGAGACTTCCTCGATCTCCTCGTCAATGCTCACTTCACTTTTAGAGTTTTCTGAACGATGGCTGAAGAGTAAGGAGAGATGAGAAACCTTCATCGAGACGCAGATTAACCTAAATAACTGCAAAACACTAGTCGGACAATGTATTTACCTGTTGAAGTCGTCATCATAGTCAAGATCATCATCTGCAAAGCATTTGTTTGGAAATGAAAAGAGTGAAATTTTAAAGGGTTGAGGGTTCAAGTCATTGAAAAAACAAACAAATAAAAAAAAGATTGTCAAGAAGTTCTTACCTAGCAACGGAGATCCAGTTTTTTCATTTGGTGTAGAAAAATCTTTGCCACCCTTATCTATAGAAAGAGACGTTCCTAAGAGGTTAATCAAAAAGAAAAAATCAGTATGGTGATAATCTTTGGGCATATTATGAGTTAATTTGGTCAGAGATTAAACTTTGATGATGCATTTAGATT